AGGCCGAGGCGGGTGGATCACGAGGTCAAGAGATCAAGACCATCCTGGTCAACATGGTGAAACCCCGTCTCTACTAAAACTACAAAAAATTAGCTGGGCATGGTGGCGCGTGCCTGTAGTCCCAGCTACTCAGGAGGCTGAGGCAGGAGAATTGCCTGAACCCAGGAGGCGGAGGTTGCGGTGAGCCGAGATCGCGCCATTGCACTCCAGCCTGGGTAACAAGAGCGAAACTCCGTCTCAAAAATAAATAAATAAATAAATAAATAAATAAATAAATAAATAAAATAATCTTGAATTCCATATAATAATTTACTTGAAAGCTCATTAAATCTACCTCTACGCTGAAAAAAAAAGCAAACCATACCAAGTACAAAAACTAGGAGGTAGATATTTCCTGGTCTCATTAATGTCTTTTGCAATAAGAGCTTTTGTTATGTCTAAAAGCTTACACACACTTAAAAAAAAACCAAAACCATTCAGGCCAGACATGGTAACTCATGCCTGTAATCCCAACACTTTGGGAGGCCAAGGTGGGAGGATTGATTGAGGCCAGGAGTTGAAGACCAGCCTGGGCAGCATAGCAAGGCCCTATCTCTGTAAAAATAAAAAATAAAAAAATAAAAAAAACTCATCTGTTTCATAAAGTGAGAAACTGCTATAGTAGTGTACATTTATGTCTTTAAGGATAGTAATAATTAACTGAGAAAAGCCGAGACATTTAAGATGAAAACTTTATTTTATTTATTCTTTTTTTTGAGACAGCATCTCACCCTGTCACCCAAGCTGGAGTGCTGTGGTGCAATCTTGGCTCACTACAGTCTCTGCCTCCTCGGTTCAAGCAATTTTTATTCTTCAGCATCCTCAGTAGCTGGGATTACAGGCCCGTGCCACCACAGCTGGCTAATTTTTGTATTTTTAGTAGAGGCAGGGTTTCACCCTGATGTCCAGGCTGGTCTCGAACTCCTGGCCTCAAGTGATCCACCCACCTCAGCCTCCCAAAGTGCTGGAATTACAGGCATGAGCCACCGTGCCCAGCCAACACAGAAACTTTAAAAGTAAGCTTTCACTGTCTATTTTTAATTATAAAAGTAATACACATTAATTTTAAACTTTATAAGATGTAGAAAAAGAAAAAGAAAAAAAAAACCTGGCTATTCTGGGCACACTGCCTATGCTAGTCCTGCTCCACAAGGACTAGAAACTCTGCTGCTGCTATTAATTAAATATAAAAATGAAAAACGCCACTGATACTGCCATAATCTAGAGATATCATTACCTTTTGGTTTATTTCCTTTAGGCTTTTATTATACCTATGCGAATGAATATACAGATATTTAATTTTTAAACATAATTAGGTCACACTATATTTTTGCTTTCATCTCTAAGTAATAACTTTTTATGAGAGTTTATTTTTCCTTAGCTCTTAAGAACTTCCACTTCGCTGAAGAACAGACTCCTGTAGGTGATGATTCTTAAACACCAGGGCACTTTGTTGGCATCTAATGGCACTTAGTAAGTGTTTGTAGACTACATGTAATGGAAGATTCCACTACCTTCTCTTTTGAGGATTTTCCAGACTGTTTATCCATATCTCTAGAATAATTTGAGTGAATCAAAAGTAGTCATTTTCAAACTTCAACGTGTGTAAGAATCTCCTGGGCAGTGTGTTAAAATGCAGATTCCTAGACCCTAATCCAGAAATTGGATTTAGCAGGTCTGGATAGGGCCCAGGCATCCTTTTTTTTTTTTTCCGCTGCTCTGTCACCGAGGCTGAAGTGCACAATGTCAGCTCACGGCAACTTCTGCCTTCTGGTTTCAAGCAATTCTCCTGCCTTAGCCTCCAGAGTAGCTGGGACTACAGGCATGCGCCACCACGCCAGGCTAGTTTTTGTATTTTTAGTAGAGACAGGGTTTCAACATGTTGGCCAGGCTAGTATTGAAATCCTGACCTTAAGTGATCCTCCTGCTTCAGCCTCCCAAAGTGCTGGGATTATGGTAGACATCCCTTTAAATGTGTGCCTTCTGTGAACCGCACTTCCACTACTGACTTAGAGGGGCGAAAGGTCTTATAATTTTCAATCCACTAGGTTATAAATTACCACCTTCACTTGTAAGGTGGTAAGATTAAGATAGTTAAAAGGAAATAATGATTATTTATAAATTATAACTAGGCATCCTTGCAGCATTCAGAACACTTTTAATCAAAGTCAAGCATTCTGTAATGTTTTTCTTTTCCTTTTAAATGTAATTTTCTTTTGTTGCAAAAAATTTTTAATGGTGAAAGTAAGATTTAGGGGAGTTAAATTGCTCAGGGATTGTGGAAGCAAATTTCTGACCTCCTACCTGCTTAGATCATTGAGCCCTACAGGACTGTAAGAGACGCACATGACAAATTATGGAGGAAATGAGAGAAAACAGTAAGAATTTTAGGAATAAAAATAGGAGAGCAGGAATGAGAAATATACGTTTCTATGGGTAAGCCACAGAAAAGAGATGGTATGATGATATATGTGTGCTAAATCCCTGAGCCCCATTTTCTTTTCCTTTCTTTTCTCTTTTCTTCCTTCCTTCCCTCCCTCCTTCCCTCCTTCCCTCTTTCCCTCCTTCCCTCCCACCTTCCTTCCTTCCCTCCTTCCTTTCTTCCTTCCAAAAAATTTCTTTTTTATTTTTGAGACAGGATCTTTGTCACCCAGGCTGGAGTGCAATGGCACAATCTCGGCCCACTGCCACCTCCATCTTCAGGGCTTGAGCAATCCTCCTGCCTCAGCCTCCAGAGTAGCTGGGGCCACAGGTGTGCACTAACACACACTGCTAATTTTTTGTAGAGATGGGGTTTCACCATGTTGCCCAGGCTAGTCTCAAACTCCTGGACTCAAGTGACCTGCCCACCTTAGCCTCCCATAGTGCTGGGATTACAGGCGTGAGGCACCGCACCCAGCCCCCATCTTCATATAGAAAGCACAACATGGACATCAGGAAGCTTGCCCTTTGATACTAATAGAATCACTGAAGTTCACTGAAACAGATTTAGGAATATTCTGAACCACCAAGAGGGAACCCTCTGAACCATTTCTAATATACTCAGGCATTTTGGATATTAACTAAATAATAAACTACGCAAACCAATCTATTAAATGTATTTGTTATTACTTTTTAAAATGTAAATTACAGAATTTATTGTATTAGATTATACCTCAAAAAACAAAAGTTAATCCTGGCTATTCTTGGCCGTTTCATCTATGTAAATTTTAGAATCAATGCATCAAATTCCACCAAACAATCTATTAGGATTTTATTTAATCTATAGATGAATTTGAGAACTGACATCTGTATAATACAAGTCCTCCAACTCATTATCATGAACCTGATTTTTTTTTAGCCTTCTCCAAAATATTGTAAAACTTTATATTTTCTTTGTAGAGTTGTTTTCTCCAGCGTATTGCTAGCTCCTTGCTATTAAAAATGGGGGTATCATTAAAAATCTACTTCACTTGTTGCCTCTTTACAAAAAGTACAACTGATCTCAAGTATAAATTTATACCTAGCAAACTTGATAAACTTATGTTAGTAATCTCAAGATTTTTGGATTGTGTTTTATAATCTTATGTGATTAATAAAAGTTGTGTTTCTTTTTCTGTCATCATATTTCTTTTTCTTGCCTAACTCAGTAGCTGAGACTTTCGGAAAAATGCTGAATAGGAGTGGTGATAAGAGATATAAGATGAATCCTTCTAGATCTAAAGAGATCTACTCTGAAATGCCTGTAGACCGTAAGCAAAGTGTGTGTGAGCGAGAAATATACTTTTACATGTTAACCTCTTGAAAATGGAGTCTGTTAGTTCCTATAGCATGTTCTGTCCTGACTAATATAATCGGGTTAAAATAATTATCTTCTATTCCTAGTTAGTTAAAACATCTCATACACCACTGGTGAATCCTACCAATGTTTTTTGCCGTCTGTTTTGATGATTTTTACGATTTTTCCTCTTTAGTCTGTTGAATTGACAAATCCTATTCATTGTTTTGTTAATAGTTTCAATTTATTACTATTTTGTATTACATGAGAGCTGATTCTTAGTGTGAATTAGGGCACTGGACCCCTCCTCCTACCTCCCTTCTTCTGGTATCTCCGCATTAGCCCTTGTATCTTAATCAGGAAAGATGAACAATGTTGTTAGTGCTTTCTCCCCATTCTCTCTTTTCATGGTTGCTTTGTTAGGATGGTAGATCCTAAATAGGTGTCTGGGGGAAAAAATAAGTTTCTTTAAACTCAGTAATTCAGTAGCCACTAAGTCGTCTTTATCTTGTTGAAGAGAGGAGAATACTTGATGGGCAAAGCTGTATGGGCGACAAGACCATGAAAGCGTAACAGACTTCAGTTTATATACGAATCCTGCTGTCTTCTCTGCAAGGATGTATCCCACTAGTGATTTAATTATCAAGGAAATGAAGATAACTTTTCTGTAGAGTTCATTTCTTTCTCATAAAACAAAAGTCAACTTCTTTACACATAGCGTTTTAGGTTGAACTGACTAAATTATGTGTTCTAATGTACTTGGTTTTAGTGATTTTAAAAAATCTTTTCCTTCCCTTCCTACTTAGCAACCTTAGGAAACTGGTAAAAACAAACAGGTAAGTACCAGAATGTTCACTATAGTCAGATTAAGGATAGCAAAAACCAAACAGAGAGCTGTATAAATAAATTGTTATAGCCTTAGGATATTAGCCATTAAAAAGAATAAATTAGATAAATGTATAGATATGAAAAGATCTCCAAGACATTCTGTTAAAGGAAAAAGCAAAATGCAGAATTATATGTATGGGGATAGCAAATTTTCTGGAAGGATCCATGAGAAAGTGATAAGGATAGTGGAAGTGGAGTGAGGAAACTTCATTTTCTGCCCCTTGGTTCTATATGAAAGGTTTTCTCATTACACATATTGCTTTTTAAATAATAATTTAAAATTAGTTTAAAACTTAAATCGCTTTCTGGTGTTTAGCTTGTTTCAGGTTTTGTGGTCTTTCTGCTTCCGTGGGCCCCGCTTTCTCTCCGAGCATTTCTCATGCCCATACATGTTTATTCTGGACTTCTCATCTTTGGAACAGTGATTGCCACAGTACTTATGGGAGTGACAGAGAAACTGATTTTTGGCCTGTAAGTTGCATAGTCTTCTTAATTGTAATACTTAAGCCATAAAATGTTAAATGCTCACTCACTGGGAAAATGTCATATAAATGTAACAAAGTTTTTTAAATATTAAATTTTTTAAAAAATATACTTAAAACAATTTGTTATAGCATACAGGTAATATGATATTACTAAAAAATTAGAAGGACCAAAAAGTCTGACAAATTATACTACTCTTACAAAACAACTATTGAAGTTATACATTCCCTTTCAATATTTTTGATAGACATGTTTTTACATTAATTGTAATCATAGTGTACATACATTTTTGTTTCATTCTGTTTTAAAAATTTTAAGTGATGCCGGGCGCGGTGGCTCAAGCCTGTAATCCCAGCACTTTGGGAGGCCGAGGCGGGTGGATCACAAGGTCAAGAGATCGAGACCATCCTGGTCAACACGGTGAAACCCCGTCTCTACTAAAAATACAAAAAATTAGCCGGGCATGGTGGTGCGTGCCTGTAATCCCAGCTACTCAGGAGGCTGAGGCAGGAGAATTGCCTGAACCCAGGAGGCGGAGGTTGCGGTGAGCCGAGATCGCGCCATTGCACTCCAGCCTGGGTAACATGAGTGAAACTCCGTCTCAAAAAAAAAAAAAAAAAAAAAAAAAGAAAATGAAAGCACACTCCACAGGGCGAGAGTGCCTAAGAAGCCGCTCAGGGGCCTGGAGACAGAATCTTCTTGGGTCTAAATGCCCCCTAAAGGTTTCCTGTTGGCCACTTGGTGTTCACTGCATGTAAATGAAGCAGTGGCCTGCAGAAAGCAACCAATCAGAGGCTGATGTGAAGTTACAAAGTTACATTCTTATGCAAACGTCTGATGGGTTGTAGAAATCAGAGATACTTTCAATTTTCCATCTGCCATGCAGAAAAGCAGGGCTTGCAAAGGGAGTAGCCTCCAGTCCTTTTGCTACTTAGGTGTGGAAAGTTGGGGTTTTCCTTCTGGTTTAATTCTAGGAAGTCAGTGTGAGGTTCCCTGCCTCCAGACCCTACCTGCCTCAAAACAAGTGTGACAGATGCTGTGTTATTTTCATATTTATTATTTTTTAAGCAATTTCATGATGTATTCCTGAGTGAATTATAGCATAACTTAAATTTCTCCTTAATATCAAGTTTTGAGAGTTTACATTGAAATTGTATTAGTGTGCATAAGACTGTTTTGCATGTTGCTGTATCATCCTATTTGTGATTGGATACATCTCTTATTTCATAGAAGAGCTCCTGCTTCGTACAGTACATTCCCACCAGAAGGTGTTTTTGCAAACTCCCTTGGCCTTCTGATCCTGGTGTTTGGAGCCCTCATTTTTTGGATAGTCACCAGACCGCAATGGAAACGTCCTAAGGAGCCAAATTCTACACTTCTTCAGCCAAATGGAGGCACTGCAGAGGGAGCGAGAGGTTCCATGGCAGCCAACTCTGGCTACAATATGGACAAATCAGATTCAGAGTTAAACAATGAAGTAGCAGCAAGAAAAAGAAACTTTGTCCTGGATGAGGCTGGGCAGAGGTCTACCATGTAAAATGTTGTAGAGATAGAGACATATAACTTCGCATTTCAAAACTGGCTCTACAGTTTAGCTTCTCCTATTAGCCATATGATAATTGGGCTATGTAGTATCAATATTTACTTTAATCACATAGGAGGGTTTCTTGAAAGAATTTGTGCTGATTAAGGCCTATGAACTGACCTGAATTGGAAAGGATGTGATGAATATAAATAATAGCAGATATAAATTGTGGTTTTATTACCTTTATCTTGTTAAGGACCATGGCATTAGCACAGTGCCATGTGCAGAATAGATGCTCATTATGTACCTACCAGTGGTTAATAGGATAAACTGGCAGCGTCCCTGGCCTATTGTCACGCAGTCATTTTCTGTTAATTCTGGGAGCCAATGATTTCACAACTGATGGAAGCAGTCCTAAAGGTTTAAAATTAGATCATAGTATCTAGGACAGGGTTTATACCATGATACTACACAGATACCATGACAAGGGTATAGAAAAAAATTTAGAAAAGCACCTGGTTCCCTTTTCCCCATGTCTGTCTTCTGCTGTCTCCCCTGCTGGTTTGGGCTCAAATTGTCTCTGGACACCAGGGTTTGTGTTAGGTTATTGATAGGTTAGAGCAGGTGGTTGAAGAGGTACACAAAATTCCAGGGTTTTTGCAGGGAGAGAGTAGATAGTGACTGAGCCCCCAGAACTGAGGCAGCCATTCTTTTTTATATAGGCTAAGAAAGAGGTTATCACTGAAAAGTTAATTATGGCTTTGGCACTAGAATAGCTCTGTTGCAAAGTATTTGAACACCCTTCATCTCAGCCCTTTATTTTATCTTTCATGTGGGCTAATGTGAGGGTAATCTTACAGATATTATAGGAATTTTTTTCTTTCTGTCTTTATGAAAACAATGTGTATAAAATATATCTAGAAAACCTTAGAGACTTGTTTTAACAGGCTTTTGATTCTAATGATAATTGTACCTTTGTCTTTCAAAAGCTGATATTTCCTACCTAAAGCATCTCCCCCAAAAATATCTCATTAAAAAGCCCACAAATAATAGGGGAGAAGAAAGCCTTAGGTACCAATTCCAAAATAGTGATTGAAATTTCCCAAAATAATTATAGCTTCTATCATCTCCAGAGATAATCTGGCTTGGCTTACCCCATAATCTAATTTCAGAAAAGAAAGCTTTATGTTAACATTCATCTGAATCAACAGTAAAGCCTTTTCTCTCAAACTGTTTATTGAGAAACTCAAATGAATATACTTTTTGAATTAATGTCATCAAAAGTGTATGGCTTCCTGTGCCGCTTGTGTCAAACTGAACCTGCCCTCTAAAGCACTTCTTTTCTTTATTTGTATGGTTTCATGTAAGCTGTGCTGTTTAGAAACAACATCTCAGACCTTACAGTGAAATGACAAAGAAGGCAATTGCACTTTTTAAGGGCTACTGACAAACGGTTTCTGTTTTCTAAAGGACAGAACATAGAATGTGTGTCATTTTTAATTAGATTATTTCCCCTGCTGAGTTGGAAATTCCAGTGCAGCATTGATTGACCACAATTGCCAGCCTAAAAGCACAAAGACAGAAGTAAAGCTTTATGCTAATTTTATTTCAATACAATAGAAAATTTATCTTCGTATGTCCTTTTTTAGATAACTCCAGCAGAAAACTGTAACGGCTATGTCTTTAGGGAAATGTAGAAGGAAGAAAATCACTATTCTTTAATCCCTATGAGATTCTTGAAAACCTTAAGTGGAAAAGACTTCTATCTTTAAATGTGTCTTTATATCTTAGCGCATTTATGAAAAAATGTTAAATATCCTGAATATTTTATAATTTTGTAGGAAAAAATATGCATCTATTTTTTCTTGACTTCTTTTTAAATAGCAATAAAAATTATTTTGGAAGCTCTTTGTGTGTTATCAATTTGTCCAGGCTGGAAGAGGCATTGTTTTAGAAGTTTCTTGGCCATGCTATTTGGTTTTTCAGCAGAGATAGTGTTTTTTTCAGTCTCTTGATTATGTTAACTGAAAAACTAGACTCTGTAATATATATAATATAATATTAATGTTAATATTTATAATATATAATATTTTATATCTATAAATTTTTTTGCAGTAAAGAGTTGAATACAAGGCAGCCAAGCAGAAGGACTGGAGTTATCACTCAAATCATTCTTCCTGAAGGCTCAGAGGTTAGCATTTTTCAAGGATGGTTGGTGAGCAGAGCACAAGGGAACAGATGCTGCTGGTTGGCTGGGGATGCAATCATAGGCATATAGAAAACAATCTTCATGCACTGAGTCCCACTCTGGAGGGGGGGCCACAGGACCGGTTGAGTCATGATTCACAAGTCCAGGTGGGGTTAGCTGTTCACCACTTGACCAATCTTATGTTCTACAATACTGATGTTATCTACAGAGCAACTGGGGAAGTCACAAATCTTGTGACCTCTGGCCACCTGACCCCTGAGCAGTAAGAGGTTAGAGAAACTGGGGCAAGGCAGGGGAGCCCCAACGTGGAGCTTAGCCCATGAAGGTTCTTGGCTTTGCCCAGGAAAGAATTCAAGGGCAAGTCAGAGGTAGAAGAAAACAGCTTTGTGAAGAGGCAGCACCGTGACCTCTCCTGTAGAGTGGCACTACCCCCTAGGCAGAGAGTCGCCTGTAAACTCTTTTAAAGAGGCTTATCTGAGCCAGTACAAGTGACAATAACCTAGGGAACACAGTCTCAAGAGATCCTGAGAAAGTGTGCCCCAGCAGTTGGAATTAAAGTTTGGTTTTATATATTTTAGGGAGGCCGAAGTTATAGGGAAAGATATAAATCAATGCTTGGGAGGTACGCATTGGTTTGGCCCAAAAAGGTGTGATATTTTGAAGCAGAAGCTTAGTTTATAGGTGGATTCAGAGACCCTTTAATCTGCACTTGGTTAAGGAATAGAGCTCTGTCTAAAGATTTGGAGTTGATCAGGTACAGTGTGTCATGCCTGTAATCCTAGCACTTTGGGAGGCTAAGTGGCAAGATCGCTTGAGCCCAGGAGTTTAAGAGCAGCCTGGGCAACAAAGTGAGACCCTATCTCTTAAAAAAAGAAATTAAGGGCCGGGCGCGGTGGCTCACGCCTGTAATCCCAGCACTTTGGGAGGCCGAGGCGGGTGGATCACGAGGTCAAGAGATCGAGACCATCCTGGTCAACATAGTGAAACCCCGTCTCTACTAAAAATACAAAAAATTAGCTGGGCATGGTGGCGCATGCCTGTAGTCCCAGCTACTCAGGAGGCTGAGGCAGGAGAATTGCCTGAACCCAGGAGGCGGAGGTTGCGGTGAGCCGAGATCGTGCCATTGCACTCCAGCCTGGGCAACAAGAGCGAGACTCCGTCTCAAAAAAAAAAAAAAAAAAAAAAAAAAATTAAGAAGTTATCCAGCTGTGGTGGCATGTGTCTATAGTTCCAGCTACTCAGGAGGCCAGGATGGAAGGATCACTTAAGCCCAGGAGATCAGGCTGCAGTGAGCCATGATCATGCCACTGCACTCCAGCCTAAGTGACAGAACAAGACCCTGTCTTAATAAAAAAAAAAAGTCAATGGAAAGGAGTATTTTTAGATAAGGAGCTCCATTAACCAATACACTGAATCAGAGGGAACTGCAAGCCTGTGTGGCTTAACCCTTGTCTGACATGACCTTAAGTCGTGTATATAATTTGGTATTTTATTGGCATAAAGAGTCTATTTTGTTAGTCACATGATTTCTATTTTAATATTAATGCTGCTCGGTTGAACCTAAACTCCAAAAGGGAGGGGCTGACCTCCTTTCTGGTTGTAGCTGGGAATTTAGTTTTTTTTTTGTTTGTTTTATTTATTTATTTTTTTTGGGAGGGAGACGGAGTTTCGCTCTTGGTACCCAGGCTGGAGTGCAATGGCGCGATCTCGGCTCACCGCAACCTCCGCCTCCTGGGTTCAGGCAATTCTCCTGCCTCAGCCTCCTGAGTACCTGGGATTACAGGCACGCGTCACCATGCCCAGCTAATTTTTTGTATTTTTAGTAGAGACGGGGTTTCACCGTGTTGACCAGGATGGTCTCGATCTCTTGACCTCGTGATCCACCCGCCTCGGCCTCCCAAAGTGCTGGGATTACAGGCTTGAGCCACCATGCCCGGCTGGAATTTAGTTTTTAAGATTTTTCTGGGGTCCTTTTGGCCAAGAGGGAGTCTAGTCAGTGGGGTGGGGGAGGAGGGGAATAAGACTTTATTTTTAGTTTACAATAGAAAATGCTGTCTGATTTTTCTATAAAATGTATATTGGCACCATGCCTTTCACATTGCTGGAAGTATCAGAGGACTGTTTGAAAATCCTCTTGATGTTCCCCTCCCTGTAGGATCTGAACTGGAGCCACACTCTGTAGCGCAGAAGGGTGCTGGAGATGTAGGCAGCCCACACAGGTGCAGTTTCAGTTGGAAAATCATGAAAGAAGAGTCTATTAAAAGTGCCAGTTACTACAGAACTTTGTGTTTATAGTACATAAATTATAATGGTACATAATTTATAATGGGTAAACTGGCTTGTTTTTTTCCAAATAAGAAAGAAGCTTCATTAGCATTCGAGTAGTGCCAAAACTCATCCACTCTTAATAGGACCACTCATTTAGCTCTTTTTCACCTACATTCCGTTTCCATGGTATTTTATGTCACGTTGCTGTAGTAACACCATAATGCTACATGTCCTATTATGCAATAGAACTCTAATATTATGTATGCATTGAATTTTTATAAGTTACATCATATTTTGTCACTAAATTATATTGATTTCAGAAGAATTGTATTTCATTTCAGATTTATCTTAATTGACAAGTACTTTTGACACTTATAGCTCTATGGCTCAAGCAGATTACCATACAATTTTACATATATAAGTTCATTTAATTTAATTTACAGTTGTACTATATAACTACTACCTTAATAATTTGTTATTTTTGCTTATTCACATTTCTAGTTATCTATCCATCTCTTTATTCAAATATTTCCTCTTGAAATTTTTTTTTAAGATTCTCTTCTTTACCAATCATCTTAATTTTTGATACATTTCAAAGTATTGCAACATCAGCAAATTGGTGTGGCTGGCCATTCTTGGTTTGGTTATTATCATAGAAGGAAAACATTCAATATTTTATTACTAAATATGTCATTATGACCTTCATCAGGTTGGGGACTTTTAATTTGGTGAGTTTTAAAATTTTAATCATGAGTGGGTGTTAAATTGTATAAAATTATTTTTCTGTGTCTACTGAAATGACACTTATTTTTCTCCTTAATTCTGTTAATATGGTGAAATACATTGATTTATGGGTGTTAAACCAACTTTGCACTCCCAGAATAAACTCCCCTTCAGCATGATGCATTATTCTTTTTATATATCGCTGGATTTTATTTGCTAATTATTTTCAAAGGATTTTTGGTATCTATGCCCATGAGAACTACTAGTTTGCAATTTTCCTTTTTTCTAATGTATTTGTCAGGTTTTACTGTCAGTATAAAGCTGGTCTTACAAAAAGTAGTAGAAGGCAAGGTGCAGTGTGGCTCACACCTGTAATCACAGCTCTTTGGGAAGCCAAAGCAGGAGGACTGCTTGAGCCCAGGATTTCAAGGCCAGCCTGGGCAACATGGTGAAACCCCATCTCTGCATTAAAAAAAGTTAGCTGAGCATGGTGGTGTGCACCTGTGGTCCAAGCTACTCAAGGGGGCTTTCATTTGGATATGTTTTTATTTTTCTAATTTCCCTTATTTGGAAGTGTGTTAATTTCCAAATATTGAGGTTTTTCTAAATATCTTACTGATTTTCAACTTAATCCCATTATAGACAGAGAGCATATTCTATATGATTTCAATCTTTATAAGTTTATTGAGACTAATTTTATAGCCCAGAACGTGATCATGCTGAACATGTCATGTGCATTTAAAAAGAATATGAATTCTGCATTTGTGGGCAGTGTTCTATAAACATCAGGTCAAGGAAGTTGACAGTGTTATTGAGATTTTCTGTCTTTATTGATTTTTTTTGTTTCATTGATAGCAATTGCTGAGAAAGAAATATTTAAAAACCCTAATTATAGCCGGGCGCGGTGGCTCAAGCCTGTAATCCCAGCACTTTGGGAGGCCGAGGCGGGTGGATCACGAGGTCAAGAGATCGAGACCATCCTGGTCAACATGGTGAAACCCCGTCTCTACTAAAAATACAAAAAATTAGCTGGGCATGGTGGTGTGTGCCTGTAATCCCAGCTACTCAGGAGGCTGAGGCAGGAGAATTG